CCAAGACGAGCAATAAAAAGATGTTGTTTTAATATCTTTTTATTACTCGTATTAATTATTATTTTATTTCTTTAGTTGTTTTGCAAGAAACAAGTTTCTTATTTGTATTTATTGTCTTTACAATTCGATATCAAGGAAAGAATGATTTTGCTGAAATATCTAAAAATTTAAACATAGATCTGGAAATACTTTTATTGGACTATCAAAATAATTATGTAAAAAACAAGCATAACAAGCACAAATTTATTATATTTATTGTTTACTACAATAAGCACAGTTGCATAAAATTTAATATTCTAGAAATCAACTTATATTAGCGTCTTACATCATTATTTTGACAATTCAACAAAATTATTTTCAATTCTGTACCTAGTAAAATTTTTTAATACTTCAGTAAAATTGTTCTTTCTTAGTGTCAGTAACTATGTTTAAAATGAAACAAGTACAAAATTAGTATTGCGTTCGAGATGCAATCGATCATCACTAGCTTCGGTACGAGTGTGTTCACTTCATTTCTATGATTGCGTATCGACGGTTCGACACATTTAAAAAATGAGAATTGGAAGAAAGCGTGTTACGCAGCATGACTATGAAGCTAATGATTCCTACGGTTATATGAGTCACTAATTATCAGGGAGATTGATGGACTGCGCCGACTATCAAGGCGGTGGCGGCGAATGGCACAGACGAATCCATAGTGCTTTCTGTGCTGACGTAGATATTAGAATCGAATGAAATATCGATCATTGAAGGTAGAGGCGTTTATTTCAGTTCAGGTTTTCAATTTTATATCGGAATATCCTTTAATAATAGTATGCACGCGGCATCTTTCGCGTGACTGTTTGTTGCGCAAACGATGAAATAAAGTCGGCTGTGTGTGTATACAAATTTATTTAATTAAATACATGTTTAAGTGCCTCATAAAAACTCACTTTCGACGACGTCCAGCTAGTTGGATCTTTCTCGTGACTTATATAGCTTCGTGCAACACGTAAACATGGCCTTGTCTTTTATTGCGTTGTGCTCGCGAAAGGAAAAGGGTTCAGACTTTAATTGAACAGAAATCTCAAGTAGCGTCTGCAAAACATTAAAAAAACGCTTATATGCGCTTTTTTTTAGCGCTTGGTAGGCGCTGTGTGCTATTTGAGATTATTCTTGCGGCTACACAAAATGCAAGACTTCTACCTATATCTCACGATCTTGCGCGCGATGAAAAATACGACCGCTAACTAAAATAAACACAATCTCGCGCACGAGAGATAAGTAACATCGGCGCGGTGCTCAATGAGCAATGAAAGTTCAATCACAGTTAATTACAGATGGTCTCGAGAGCGAAACGTTCCTTCCTGCGTTCGTAGACCGTCTGTTGGGAAGTGACGGCAATGACGGATTCGCGTTACGACCTCGTGGATCTCTAATTACTGTACACGATATTAGCTATCGCAGACATGAATCATTGCTATCAATGAAATAGAACGGGCGCGCCTTTGAACGAGCTGCTGAAAAATTGAAAGAATGTTAATAACTTCTTGCTATTACTTAACCACGTGCGCGGCTTATAAAGGTGAAGAACTAGTTCTTAATCGAAAGTGTTTGTCTTAAACATACGCGCGGAATCGTCAACGTCAAAGTTTGAACGTTAGATTAATTAGCAATGATAGGGTAAGACTTCATGTAACCTGAATGCTACTTTCACATATCAAAGGAAATTAGGCGATTTAATTACTCATGAATATCCAATTAAATAAAAAATTATAGTTTGTGCAAAAAGTATCTAATGACAAAAACGTAATTAATTTATAAAACGTTTTTCTTAACATATCCAAAATTTGAAAAGACTTATCTACAAAATTGAATTATTGATTTATATTCATAAATTTAAAACGGAATTATTTTTTATTATACTAATTGGACGTATCTTAATTTTGTAGTAATTTAATTATTATTAGTTCAACGCTACACTATGGGAACAACACACTGGCATACTAAACCAATTCTATTATTTATAACTTTTATGAAAATGAACATATTGTAAATACTTTTTTAATTAAAACATCAGATATTGAAGAATATAACAATACTGGGCAAATGTATAAATCTTTATTAATAAAAGAAACGTTATAAGTAATGAAAAAAGTATTGGAAATGACTTAGAAAAAGAAATCCGGGTATGCCACACAGAAATTTAAAAATATTTTATTTCTTCCAATGCTTTTTAGCAAGATATGATGACAACATTTCATTCGATGTTATTCTTTAGGATTTGAACGGATAGACTTACAAATATAGAGACTTACGTATAAAAGAGCCTCGAAAAACCTACTATTGTTCCAATTTTACAGCGTGTTTTGCTATAAATAGCGACGATGCAAAAATACGAGAGAGAGAAAAAAATCAACTTGATCCATTTGCAGAAATATCAACATTTTGCGGGTATGTGGCGTCATCTGAACGGAGCATATTAATACTTGAACAGAAAGACTTAACAAAGATTCTCAGTTGGTAAAGTTTTTTGTTCAACAAAACAATTACGAATAAATAATAAATAAGGAATAATAATTAAATTTCACTTAGTTAATATTTAAATAACCTATATCGAGTAATAATAGTGTACAATATTTTCTGCATAATTATTAAATTATTAATCATAAAAATGACGACACATGTGTGATGAAAATTTGCATTATTGAATTAGAAACGAAATATTTTCGCTCTAAAAATAGATATACGGCTGTATTCAAAAGCAGTTTTCCATTTTCGTTGTAAAATGCTTGATTTGTCTCCTTAATTAGTTGTTTACTGGGTCTTAATTATAGATTAAGATGGTACAATTTCGAACATGGTATAATTCTGAAATAAGATTTGAATTAAATTTTCGAAGTTTAAGATAGATGTTTTCCTATTTGACATCCTTCAGTATTTTTCACACAATAAGAGAGTTACCAAACTTAAATCTGGAAAATTGGATTCAAATTATATTTCGTTCAGAATTATACCATATTCGAAATTGTTACCACCCTACCCGTAAATCCTATAAATCAATTATATTAAAGAACTATAACAGTTACAAAGCTGCTTCTGCTGAATGCAGTTATTGATGCGTTTCGTTTTGCGTAGCACGTCTCTTAATTGACACAAAATTCGTGCATTGCTTTTCACACTGCTCAGAAGCATATAAAAGAGTACAATACCAAATAATAAATGCAGAAATATTGGATTTTAGGTTTTTCATCGAATTCCATGTTAACCGCGTGAAAACCAAACCGAGAGGGAATAGTCGTGACAACCGCAAATATAAAAACATTACATTACAGCAATTTTCTTTTATGCGTAGTGACGTCAATGCACGCTTCATATGGATAACGCGAGCAAAAACTTGCGTGCGGCATAGACTGCAATATTTTCGCACTTGTCACGTCGAGAGATCATAAAAGCTGAAATTGTCTGCGCTCCTGCGTGAATAACCGCAAGACAGGGCAACCGCAATATATTGCTCCTCAGTCAGCCAAGTTATTTCGTTATGACAGCTTCTAACACTTCCTGCGGACGCGATTTAAACGCGATTGTTCACATTGGTGGATTTGCCAGGCGGGTGTAACAAATGCAGATAGGGTTTTATTTTCTGCAGCAACTCTATGAAAACGCAATCCAGCAAACAACAGCTTGTAAATGAATTTGAATTTCAAAAATCTCGATATAGTACATTTTGGAAGAAATAATTAATGAATTTTTACAACAGCCTAATTTTTTTGAATGAATATGAAGCTTAGGATTCATCGATAGAAATATTCCACTTTAGCATCAATCGCCATTACCCAGTAAATATTAACTAACAAAATGATCATATAATCAATATTGTAATTTTATACTCAATGTATAACTTGGTATTACCTATTACGCACAACATGTGTCATAAATACATTGCTGAATGTATATAATGTTAATTACCGTGAATTGATGTTTATTAGATACTGATTAACGAATTATATAATGATTGCATGCGATGATTTAATGCGTTATGATATATAATATTACACGAAAAACACTTGTGAATAAATTTTGAATGTCCATGACATTTGTTTTTAACAGCAATAATTGTTGTTGAATCTAAACGAAATACTTGTGTGTTACATACAATGTATCTTGATATAAGCAAACTAAACGACAATGAATGGCATAAATTCTATTATTTCTCTTTAACTACATTAAATTTAATTCAATTATTACTCTATAATTACAATTAATGGTAATTAATGAAGAAATTCGTTAAATGAACGGTATTTTGAATTCAAAACGTGTACAAGAGCAAATTCAACATAATTTTGTGATAAATATACGCATCTTGTCACGTACATTACTTCGAGAAATTGAACTCAATCACCTTTGTAACAGATCAAAACAAATCTAAGTATCAGTATATATTATCACAGACCAGTTGCTATTATAATATCTAACAGAATACAAGCACAGGATAATGATCACTAAATTTTTGATAGTGCTCGGACAATTTAATCAGTATGTACATATTTCCATGTAATAAAAAATATCTAATAACAAAGTTTTTAATATTACATGTAATTAAGTAATCATAGTTCAAAAATGTTTGTCACAATATCACATGCAATATATTCCTCTTTATATGTATATTTCTCTAGAAAGTTTGTGTCAACAAAAAGTAGATATTTGTGAGAAAGTTACAACAATATGACTTATAATTGGACATTTTAGTGTGTTTTAATTACTTCGATAATTTTATTGATATACTATTATTTTTCTCAATTTTATATCATTATTAAATATATTTCTCAACTTTACGAAGCATTACGCAAAATGCGTGTATAAAATTACAAAATGATAGAATTTACGATTAATTTTTTAGAAGATATACATATATATATTAAGTCAATTACGTTATAATCATATTATTGTAAAATAGAAACAAGAAAACTGTTGAGATATAATTACTAAATTGCTTAAATGTTCGCGTAATAAACAATCTAATGGAAGATGCATGTTTTAGACGCTTGAAGATGGGAAATAGAAACTGTATGGAAAGAGAAAAACAACGTTCAAACATTGAAGTGACTGCGACATTGTTTCCGTGTCCATTTTGTAAACGGGGAAGGTCATGCTATATTAAAATGTAAGTTATTCGTGGAAGTTCCAAAAGTCGCAAAAAGCTACTTGAATTCGTACTGAAGTCGAAAGAAATTGATTGAATTCAATTTGCAAATTGTTTGTTTTAAATATTTTTAGCGATCGTGAAAAGAACATCGGGAAAATTAAGTGCAACAAGTGTAAACATCACACTTATACCAGCATGACTCATTTGAAGACACCGGTACAAGTTTTTATGAGATGCGAAGAAAAAGTACAAGTTACTGCTAACTAGTAGAGAGAAAGGAAGAATGAAAAAGGAAGAATAAAAGGGGAAAGTTTCATGCATTTTACAATCTGCGTTCGATATAATGATAGTTCAACATTTTTTATTGTATACGTATTTTTATATGTAAATTATTTACGATACTTTTCTCGACATCTCGATACTGCACTTATTTTTATCTACTGATAACTTAAAACCGTAACTTGAATATAATTGTATTTCAGTGTAAGCATCTCACTCTACGTAATCATAATCAAAATTAGGATATTGACATGTAACAATGATGGTCACGGTAATATCTTTTTCAAATAAAAAGTAGATTAAAGCGAGGTAATTTGAATTTTTTAATTGTATTAAAGATTGAGGTCACATAGTGTATTGAATCATACAAAATATACACTATTGCACTAATAATATATATTTTGATTGAATACACTATGAGACTTCAATCTTTTTTACAATTAAAAAATTTCTGTTAACTCATCAAAATTACCCCGTTTTACTCTGTGTATAAATATATACGTATAATTATACAGAAAAAATAGTATAACAAATATAATACATAATTAAAAGAGTAATTTTGATATTATTTATTATGAAAAAATAGAAAATATATCCTATATAAAAATAATTAATTATATATAAAATTATATATATATAAATAATCAATTATATATATACATTTATATACATATATTATTATATATGGGATATTAATTGCAATTTTTTGTAAAAAATGAATTCAAATGTCATTTTTCATATTAATTAATATTCAATCTTTTTATTAATTGTTATTTACTAATAATTATTTTTATCATTTCTTAAATATGGACAGAGAGAAGGAAAAATCTAAGAATATTTTACATGTATAATTGTATAATATTATACTTATATACAAATATTTTTATATAAAATATTTCTTACCGAGACGTGTTTGTTACCAATTAAAAGTTTATTATAAGATAAAAAAGTTTATTATAAGATATATGTGACGAAAACGCTTTTTACTTTGAAAATGTAAATACAAATTTGTATGTAACACATACTTTTAATATAAAGGTATAAATTGTGATCTTTATGTCAAGATTACAATATGCATGTTTAGTTTTCTGTATGGAATCATCAAATTGGTCACGTACCTAATAAAAATAGGACCATTGACTCCCCACGTTCTTCATTGAGTTACACATTGCCTTCAAAAGCCTCGAACTAGTATATACATATATATATATATATATATATATACTAGACATAAAAAATAATTTTTTATATCTCTTATAAACCAAAATTTAATAAAGTAATAAAATTTTCTATATTTAAAAACAATAATAATGATAGAAACAGAGCTAAAAGAAATAGGCATTACATAGAGAAAAATATTAGTATCAAAATGTTAGTATCAATTACAATTGACTTTTGTTTCTCGGTCTCTTAATAATATTTGTTCATTTTTTAATATTAAGAGATATTTTGAATATTATGCACCTCTATAAGCGCTTATTCTCTCTAATCCTATTTTTATCATGATTATCTTTTATAAACCACTGATTTCGTGATAACTTTACTCTAATACTTTTATATGCAGAATTAATTAGAAAAGTATATAATTAGAACAGTACATCATATTATACAAAAAATAATATAATTTCATTTTAAAAAAATGATGTACGTATATACTGTGTACTTACTTTTAAAAAAAATGTAAGTCTTTTTTATACACGTTTTGCAATTGCATAATTAACATTAAAACATATATTTGTATTAGTTGTATTTATATTTATATATATTTGTTAACTATCTTTGTATTATTAGGCAATTAATTGTTTCTGACGGCCTTTCCTTTTAGCAACAAATAGGTATTCACACTTATATTCCACAATACATGATTTCTGATAGATTGAAATTCTTATTCTCTGTTCTCTGTTCCCTGTTCCTTTTATTGTGTGGAGCCTCTTATAACGTATTTGATTTACTGACTCGACCCGACTCCGAGTCAATAGTCTGTTGTGTTTAGCTGCAAAAGAAGAGCTAAATTGTGTAAGAAATGCAGCTAAAAAGAACAGACTGTTGACTCAGAGTCAGGTCGAGTCAGTAATCGAATACGCTATTAGTGATAAGCGGGGAGCACAGACTCTTGCATAACGCATTGAGGCATAAGAAATTGAACCAACCAGAGTTCTCTATTACGTGGAAGGGAAAGAAACGGAAAACTTCGATTGGTACATATTCTTATGCATTACGTGTTATGCGTTATGCAAGAGTCTGTGCTAGTGAACCAATAGGAAAGATTAATCCAACCAAGGTTGGTGTAGACCCAATTGGGCCGAAAACGCTATATAAATACCGGTCTACGCCATGTGTACTATACATTTTCAGCACTGATAGTAAATTTTGGAACGCAGCCCTTAAGGTGCCTTTTCATGCCGACGTTCATTTTCAGCGCTTATTTTCAAAATAAAGTCACGCGATAGAAAATGGGTGCATTCAGTACTACAATCGCTCACTGAGCGCTCAGTAAGCTCTTGCATTTGATTGGCATATTCCATTAGATCTAAAAATATACATCAATTAGATATAAGAGCTTACTGAACGCTCAGTGAGCGGTTGTAGTACTGAATGCACTCATTAACGAATATCAAGCGTCAATTTTGATCACGTGACCTATTTGATGCTAAAAATAAGACCCTGTGCACAATAGAAGGAATAAGGAATTAAGAATAAAGAATAAACGACTTTAACCTCTCTCAGAAATCGGATACATCGGGATACACGGTTTCTAATAGGTTGAAATCGTTTATTCTTTATTCCTAATTCCTTATTCCTTCTATTGTGCGCAGGGCCTAATGTTAGATTCACACTGCATCCGATTTGCGTCGTACGACGCTCCGCAACCAATCAGAAAACAAGATTCCGATGATACGAAGCAAAATCCATCGGAATCCTGTTTTCCAATTGGTTGCAGAGCGTCGTACGACGCAAATCGGATGCAGTGTGAATCCAGCATAAGCGTCAAGCGTCGGCATGAAAAGGCACCTTTATTCCTTCTATTATGCGCATATTGCGTTGCGCATGGCCTTTACATCATGCGTCTTTCTACCAATTCCACCATGCCAATTGCTATTCTTATTTCTTCCGGTTTTCGTCGCTCTTTCAGACGAACAAGATGGCTGATCAGGTATGTGCTCGACGCCGCGATCGTAAATAAATCAATTTCCTCGTTTACACATCATAACATTATTTTGTGAAAATACATTCTCGTCATGATTAGCGTTAGCTGATAAAAGTAGTTTATTAAGTAAGATCGTAGATCGAGGCGCGTTCAAATAGTTAAAGTTTGTCGGCGTAGCACGTGGTTAGGTCCACGCGTGCAAAGATGCGGACACGAAGAAGTAGAAATGACACGTAATCCATACAATTTTATTTGTTATAGAGCGAACGCGCGTTCCAGAAACAGCCCACGATCTTTCTTAATCGTAAGAAAGGTCTGGGCCCGAAGCGTAGGAAGCCTATGAGATACAGCCGCAATGTCGGACTCGGTTTCAAAACTCCTCGCGAAGTAAGTATAAATCTGCCTTGCTCTGATGTTTATTGTTCTGATATGATGATTTTGATCGGTAATCTTAGAACAGATGTGTTTCATTTACTATTAATTTATTTCACATTCATGTATAAGAAGCATATTGATTAAGGTTGCATATTGATTAAGGTGCTTTCCTTTTAGGATATACATTTGACTTAAGTATTGTTTTATCTTTATTATTCATTGAATACCAAGGAAATTAGAACGACGTTTGTGTCTTCTAAAAGGAAAGCAGCCTAACTCGCCGAGCACAGGTGAGTTTTTTAATTTGACTGATCAATTGCAAATGCTACTTTTATGGAGTAAAATTGCATTTGCGCATAAAGCAATTGATCAATCGATGAATTAAAAAAACTTACCTTTTGTATGAGATGTAAATGGTTGAATATACAAAGATTTAATCTGTTTTTATTCCTCTGCTAGATTGTACTAGAACTTTCTTTCTCGCTTTCATCAAATATTAAATATATCTATTTTGTTTTAGATTCCAAAAATGTATTTAATTTAGTTGTAAAATTTAGCTATAAAAAACGTCTATTCTATAATATTATTCAAGTAGGATGTAATTCATTGGGCTAAAGTGTATCAAATTAGAAATAGAGTTGATTACGATTTAAATAACTACAGATTATTTAATATATACCATAATTTTATAATTATTTTTATTACAATACTGTTATTGTAGATCGTTTTTATTACATTATTGTTATCGTAAATATGACCAAAATATTAATTGATGATAATATAAATATCACGATGGTCTTCTGAAGATATTTTGAAGAATCTATATTTTCTGAATGTTTTTACATCTATTTCTTATTTGTAAAAGATATATAATATGCCTTATATATTTTGCTGATTAAATCTTTGCAGGCTCTTGAAGGAACCTATATCGATAAAAAATGCCCATTCACTGGCAATGTATCGATTAGAGGACGTATTCTTACTGGCGTTGTACAAAAGATGAAGATGCAACGTACTATAGTTATTCGCAGGGATTATTTGCATTATATTAGGAAGTACAATCGGTTCGAGAAGCGTCATCGCAATATGAGTGTCCATCTCAGTCCTTGTTTCAGGTACATAAGCAATGAAATAATTTTTTTCTATTCATTAAAATTTTTTTAATTTCCACTTTTATGATGATAATTTCACGATGGTCTACTGAGATATTTTGATGATCATTATATATCTGAGTTACAAAATAATATTTAAAGAAAAATGAGCAATTAATTTAGCATTTATATTCACGAACTTTATGTTATATTTCAGAGATGTAGAAATTGGTGATGTAGTCACTATTGGAGAATGCAGACCTTTAAGCAAGACAGTAAGGTTTAATGTATTGAAGGTATCGAAAGGAACAGGATCAAAGAAAAGCTTCAAAAAGTTCTAAACATCTTACAGCAATGGTTTGTAACATTCATTATTTGTAATTTATATTACTATTATTAACCCTTAATACACCTTTGGGTCATTTGTGTTCTGCACATTTCTCTTTATATATAACAATTGTACATAATAATTTATATACAATTTATTATAAATATACAACTTTGTAAAAATATTATAAATATACAACTCTCTGAAGATGTCAAAATATATGTAAAAATTGCTTAATTTTTATATACTTATGAAAGTGATAAAATTAATCCAAGACGGGAAAGATCTATCGTATGTAGTAAAGGTACCAAAAACTAAGATGTGTACTAAGGGTTAATATAATTCTATTAAAATTTAACTTAAATGATGAAAACACGACGGTCTTCTGAAGATATATTGAAGAATGTCATACTCACTTTCTGAATATTTTTGCATTCAAGTTTTTAAGGCTCCTAAGCCTAATGCCTGGTTTATGTTTCAGTCTTAATCCTAAAATCCTAAAATTCGGCCAGTGATAGGAATACAGATTTCAATTAGATCTAATTAGGACTGGCCCTATTGGTTGAATTTTAGGATTTTAGGGTTAAGACCGAAGCATAACATTTCGTGTGTTGGTATGACAAAGATTTCAAATCTGTTGATCGACTGCAACACGGAAAGATCTGAGATCTCTCTATTTTGCAGCTAATCAACAGATTTAAAAAGCCTTATCATACGACACATGAAATATCCATCTTAAAAATGAATTTTTTTATATGAATGTAATATTTATAACATACCTCATATATCTTTGTTTTAATTACAGAACATTTTTGGCAGATTTCAAGGATGAGGTAAGAAAAAAATTGCAAAACGTGATTACACAATTCTGTATTATAATTCTCATATTCGAAATCTGACAAAATGACAAAAATAAAATTTCTATAAAAATACTAATAGCATATATTTTTCATATATCATTCCTTCAATACATATTATGTGAATGAGTATTTCTTAAGAAAATAATTTGCATATCTAATGAAGAATTTATGTTATATATATTCTCAATTATAGGAAGTCCAATGATCAAAAGAATTAATTTTTTAAATTACTTATACATATTGCATATGATAAAATGTGGAATTATTAGGTAATAACATATCATTTAGTTTTAAAAAATATATTTCAGCATTTTTTAACAAGTATTAACATATAAAAATAATTACAAGTATTTTGGCATATATATTGTTTTATATCATAAATTATAAAAATATTTAATTTTTAAAAAGAAGACATGTTATATTTGTGTCAAAGTTTATAATAAAGATAATGGTTCGTTGCGTAAAAAATCTAATTCATATATATATATACATATATTATTGAGAATTAATCTGCAATATTAAATAATTTAAATATTTCCAATCTCACAAAAGTGTATGACAGATTTATTGTATAGTATTTAGATTTTATAGATCAACAATAGAGAGCTCTAGTTATAAAGGCACCAATATTTAAATATTTCTTATGTATTCAGTATTTTCTATACTATTTTCTATTAATGGTTTTAATCATTCTTATTAAATTAATTTTGTCACAAATTTATCACAATTATGTTTGGTATAGTATGACAACTTAATAACTTTTCTACATGAAAAATAATATAATTTTAATCTTATTACTAAATATTAGAATTTATCAATTTCATTAATAGTAGGTATAGCTATAAAAAGATCTCACTCAATACAAAGGACAGTTCTGAGACTTTGAACCGTTATGATATAAAAATAGGATAAGAAAATATATTTTTTATATAGATATTAAATTTGTAGTTTCAATTGCTAATAAAACACTGGCAAATGGTTTATTTTAATCTATATAATATGTAAGAGAATAATTACATTTATGATAATTAGAAAATCATGGAAATTCAATTTTTTATTTAACTTGGAAATGATGTAAGCATGTCTATATGTCAAAACGTATATTCTTATCCTGTGACTTTCTATCCTTATATAATCCTTTACACGAAATATCAGTTACTTACAGTTATATTTGTTTTAGCTGAATATTCCGCTATATAAAGTATGTATATAATAGGCCCTGCAAAACTTAATAATAATGAGAATACGAGCAATTGTGTCCAGGACAATCCCCAGTTATCGCCCGAACATTTGAACATATTTGTTTCACAGGATTCAGCTATTTCTGTATTCTCAACATCATCAAGTAACGCATCGTGCTCTGTGTGAAAAATTTCAGGAGTATTGGCACCGTTGTAGGATGATAGAGGTTCACACACTGAATTCAGTATAATCGTATTAATTTCCGTGTTTGAGGACTCCGTGCTTGTCGATGTGACACTTAAGTCTATTAATTGTTCATCCGTTATCGCAGGTGCTTCCTCTTGGCATTGCTCAGACATGGTGATAGCATTATTATTGCCTTGACTTTCATGCGACGTCTCAGTTAAAATAGAGAATGGTTGTACGGGAACCTTAATATAAGGCTTAGCATATATTTCATTCTCTTTGTCGATTTTATTAATTCTTTTCAATTCAGATATCTAAAATTATGTGATCCATATTATGAATACAAATAAGCATAAAGATATGATTGCATATCTTTATGCCACGTATACATACACATTTTCTTACTGTATGTCAAAAATTATGCAATGCATATTATGTGACTAAAAGAGAACATAAAGATATGAGAGCTGTCTGTTTTAGTAGAACTTACATAATTCATTTTTCTCTCCAACGTAAAAAGAAAAAGAGGAAAAACAAATCATAAAATTTAGCTAAAAAAGGACAGGCCTGATTGCATATCTTTATGATATTCTTTATGGTATATGTATCACATTTTCCTACTCTACTATGTCTAAAATTATGCAATGCATAAATAAAAGGTAAAACATAAAGATATCAGATTTGTTTTTTTAATTTGAACTCACACAGTTCATTTTTCTTTCCATCATGAAAAGAAAAAGAAGAAATACGAACCATGACATTCAGATAAAAAAAACAGGCCTATGATTGCATATTTTTATGCTGCATACGTATCACGTTTTCCTACTCACTGTGCATCTGTATCGAAGAGCTAATGCTTGCAGAGTATCTTCAGGTTTTATTTGCACATTGATCACCTGAATTTTTCGACATAATGATGTAGGTCGTTTGATAGTTTGTAAAGAGATGTTATCCTCGTCTGTGCTACCTTCATCATCCGAGTGTAAAAACACATAATACGGGGAACTTTCTCTTCCACGCAGATGGACCGTCTGCCTGAGGGTTTGTTTTATTATTAAAAAGTGTATTTTTTTTTAATTTCTAATTTAAAGAGATTTTCCATTTATAATATTGATTCATTTTCTACATTTCTTATAAAAAGTACACAGTTTCCGTAAACACTATTAACTGCAATTGATTATATTTGTAAATTTATTATACACGTAATGTTACTTGTTAGTATGTTGCAAAAAATTTATATAAATAACGATGCGACAAAATTGTAATCGGATAATCAAATAACCTTGAAAATTACCTAACACTTTTCTGTTCCTCGAACGTCGAATTCATTAATTTTTGCGGCATAATGCGATCATACTTAGAATAATTTTACCCTTCAACGAGAACGTTTGTTCGCATATGCATAAATATTCAGGAAGAATGTTGTTACAGGTGACAGATGAGGGGTGACGTGTATTTAGCAAGCTGTGGGAGGCTTGTATAAATCAGTATAAATTGTATCGAATCGAGTTAGGTTAGGTTAGGCATATTGCAGGAGGCATGAGCGTGGGATGAGCCGTGAGCGACGCGTCTTCAGCGACTGTGAACATCGAGTGTCATTCAAGATGATGCGATTTGACGAAGAGGAAACGTTGAAAGATAAATCCCGATGCGCGAACGTTCGCGCTGATCTCAAAATGTGTTTGCTTCAAAGCGATTGTTGTAAAATCGTAAGTGAGCGCGAAACCGCCATAACCTATAATACCGCTGATCAATGCCGCTACAACTCAACGGTGTTTTTTTTATACATATGCATATTTAGGGTCTGAGCACAAGAATTGGTTGTAACGTTTACTTAGAGACTTAAGTTGTAGACGTAAGTAACGCACAAGTTTTCACATATGACGTGCAATTCATTGTCGTATCTTCAAGAAACGGCAATAAGTTGTACGTCATACGCCAAAGCTTGTGCGTTACTTACGTCTACAACTTAAGTCTCTAAAGGCCGGTTGTTCCATCTTTTGGTAAATTTTACCTGTAAGGTAAATCTGGTAATCCGCGCATGTGATTGAGGCCCAGTTGTTCCACCTTTTGGTAAATTTTCTCGACCTGTTGGGCACACAAGTAGCAAGATTACCCAATCACATGCGTGGATTGGCAGATTTATCTAACAGGTAAAATTTACCAAAAGGTGGAACAACCTAATAGCGTTTTCG